TTTTTTTGAGATGAAGTCTCACTCTGTTGCCCAGGCTTGAGTACAGTGGTGCAATCTCGGTTCACTGCAACCTCTGCCTCCTGGATTCAAGCAATTCTCTGCCTCAGCCTCCTAAGTAGCTGGGATTACAGGCATGTACCACCGCATCTGGCTAATTTTTGTATTTTTAGTAAAGACAGAGTTTCACCACGTTGGCCAGGCTGATCTTGAACTCCTGACCTCATGATCCACCCACCTCGGCCTGCCAAAGTGCTGGGATTACAGGTGTGAGCCACTGCGTCCGGCCCAATAATTCATATTCTTGATTGATTTTTATGACTTCACATATTGTGTTTCTTACGGAACCAGATTAATTTATTCTGTGAAGTGGTTCTAATGAATAGTCCTGGCTGGGCTCGGTGGCTCACGCCTGTAATCTCAGCACTTTGGGAGGCTGAGGCGGGCAGATCATGAGGTCAAGAGATTGAGACCATCCTGGCCAACATGTTGAAACCCCATCTCTACTAAAAATACAAAAATTATCTGGGCATGGCGGCGTGCACCTGTAGTCCCAGCTACTAGGGAGGCTGAGGCAGGAGAATCGCTTGAACCGAGGAGTTGGAGGTTGTAGTTAGCCGAGATCTCGCCACTGAACTCCAGCCTGGTGACAGAGACTCCGTCTCAAAAAAAAAAGAAAAAAAGTTCTAATTTTTAACTCTTCAGAGAGTGAAGGTATAATGCCAAATAGACTCCCCAAAGTTATGTTCAGATAAGTAAACCATCATGCTTACATTCAGAAAGTTCTGCGTCTCAAAACTTAAATGAAAATGTAAATGATGAGTGGTGGGAAGAGGTATTAAGTAGCTCAGAGAATGCCCTATGCTGAGGTCTTTAACCTGTGTGAAGAATTTAATAAACTGTTTGAAATGTGAAAGTGAAAAAATTAGAATATTTAAATAAAATATAAATTTTAGTATGTGTAGCCAAATTTGTAAGTTAAAGATTACCAATAAAATATTTGTCAGTTTTATTCAAAACTTTAAATGCTCTGATTTCAAGTTGAGTTTAAAAATGTGTTTTAGATTTTTGTCATTTGGAAAATATTGTGTTTTTGGGTTGATAGGATAGACTGAAATTGTATTAAAAATGCAAAGCTGAGGCTGGGCGCAGTGGTTCACACCTGCAATCCCAGCACTTTCGGAGGTCAAGGTGGAAGGATCTCTTAAGCCCAGGAGTTCAAGACCAGCATGGGCAGCTAGTGGCAAGACTCTATCTAAAAAAAATGAAAAAAGAAAAAATGCAAAGTCAGAACCTATGTTTTCTCTAGAAACTAGCTAGTGATGTATCTTCCAGTTTTCTGTCTTCTGCACATAGTTCATTGCATCCTGTAGTTTGGCTTTTCCACTTGGCTCTCTTTTTGCCTCTTGATTAGTTTTTTCTTCCTTGCTGCCTGCTTTCAGTTATGCCCAGCAGTTTACTTGCATTCAGTCATTGTTGAGATTAAACAACAGCTCTCAGTTCTTTTGTTTTTGTTGTCGTTACTGTTTTTTGAGGCAAGGTCTTGCAGTGTTCCCATTCTGCAGTGCAGTGGTGTAATCACAGCTCACTGCAGCCTCAACTTCCTGAGCTCAAGTGATCCTCCCAACTCAGTCTTCCAAGTAGCTGGGACTATGGGCATGCTATCACGCGCAGCTAAATTTTTTATTATTTTAGAGAGAGGGCCTCTTGCTATTTTGCTAAGGCTGGTCTTGAGCTTCTAGCCTCAAGTGATCTTCCCACCATAGCCTCCCAGAGTGTTACACCCTGGCCATCTCTCAGTTCTTAATGTTTCTCTGGCTAGGATTCTTCATTGTCTTGTTAAATGAGTACCAAAAAATTGCTTTTTTCCTGATCTACTCATAGACTTCTGCCTTTTGTAAATAGTGTCATTATCATATTCTTGTCATTCCTCTGCAGTCAGGGAGTGCCCTGGAGGTTTCCTCCCTCCTGTTAAGGTGCTCTGAGTCCAGCAGTTGCCTTCTCTCCCTTCTAAACTATTTGGCGACCCTTCTCCTGTCTTCAAGAAAGACCCCCTCCTCTTGGTTGGGCCCTCTGTTGTGGACTGTCAGGAAGTTTTCTTAATTTGTTTGAGAATTCAGGTCTGGCTTGAAGTGAAGAAAAACAGCATGGTGGTATGTACATTACCTAGTGTGGTTTCCACCTTAAGAAACAACACAAAAGCTTTTGTGTTTCTCATTCTAAATAAAACCTGTGATTTCTACCCCTGGAGTGAATCTACTGCTACCAATCGTGCTGTCTTCCTTGGAAAATCACTTTCTACATTTAATTTGAAAGGAAGTATGATTGAGTATGGGTAATGCCTGTCTCTATTATCTGCTGTTTTGTTTGTTGTAAAATAAGACTTTTAAGCCTGAATTTTTCCAAAGAAAATTTCTACCTAATTGTGGGAACTAAAATGCCTCTATGAGATTTTAATCTATAGTGAATAGAATTAATATTCCTAATTGTGCTGTATGATGCAGTGTAACAAATTCTGCATGATGAAATCTTCTTTTGTGAAAGTAGATTCCACTTTTTTTTATTGATTCCTTTTTTTTGTTTTAATGTTGCAGGGAATGACTCTGCATAAAAAGGCAGCTGAAGATAGACTGGCAAGCACAGGCTCAGGACAGTCGTTTCTGGCGAGGCAGAGGCAAGCGACCAGCAGCAGAAGATCGTACCCAGGCCACGTGCAGCCGGCTGCAGCAAGGTAGAAAAGTACTGCTGCCCAAACACAGTACAGACACCTGCACCCACAGCATACTTCTGTTACACACAACATTTCAGGAAGCTCAGCCAGCTTATTTTTTGTTTCTCTTCTATGTCAATACTTAGTGTTTCTCATTCTGAGAACTTTTTCTCTCTCCCGTATCTTTGTTTTAGTTTCTTTGGTTCTTATTTTGTAGTCCTTTCAGTTCTTTTTAATGTGCCAAAAATTTGTACATGTCCAATTAAAAATGTTGTATAATAGTGTAATACTTTTCTTTGTATGAAAATGTCCCCTTCCTCAAAGGTGTAGGCTTTGTAATGAATTAGATTTTCTGCCAATAATTATATACAATTTATATTCTTTATTGTGCCTGTGTGTTACCATGCTTTATAAGAATGTCTTTGTTTAAAGGGAATTAATCTTTTTATGATGTATTAATCTGTGTTTTCAGTTGTTTTCCAAGTACAGTTCAAATAACTTGCATATTTACTTTACAAAATGGTTGACAAGTGTTCTTTTTGCAAAGACATAAATACATTGGCAGAGGTGCTAAGCATTATCATCCCTAAGGCACCTGGTAGAATTTGAGGAAAAAAATGAGTTTTCACATTGTTTTATAGGAAATTAAATTTGCCCAAAGATTTGGAGACTGTTTTTTAAACATAAATACATAAAATTTGATTATTTCCTGCTATCTGGTTTGCTGGCAGAAGTGAATGTATTGATAAGGTATTTTGGGATAAATTACAAAAGAAAAAATATCAGACACTACATTAATTTGTTGTTGTTTTGGAATATCTTAGTAACTGGGGATCAGATTCTAGCAATGTGGTTGACATTTATATTATAACTTCAGTTTCTCTCCACATCTAAAAGAGTTAACCTTTCATATATGTACAAGTTATTGGTAGCCTTACCTTTTGGACTATTTGTTGACTTATGCCTCATTTGTTTTACTTATTCCTTAATATAAACCCTTCCATTTTTTAATAATTCCTAACACTTGACATCTTAATATCAGTCATTAACATTAGTAACTTCTTATATGTTATATCATGACAGATCTCTTTATGTTTTTTTCTCACATCTATCTGCTAGTCCAGGAATTTGTTACTAAATAGATTCTCTTGGGTATTTGGTTGCCTCAAAGTGCTTACATTTGTTAACAGATTGTAAACCACGTTTATTTACATTGATGAATGGGCTGTCAATGAGTAATCATCGTAAAGCACTTTGTATATATATATAAGCTCCTATATAAGTGCGAAATATCATTCATTTAAAAATGAAATGCCTTCTAACTTTCCATATTCACTTATGTATTTGGTCCCAAATTATATTTAAGTTTTCCTCTAGTCTTTTTCTTGCAACATAGTCCATTTTTTGAAAGCAAAAAATTTCTGAAGTAAGGTCATGGTATTTTTTATTTTTAGATAGGTCACCTTAATATAGGAGGATGTTTTCTCGTGTACTTGCTATTTGGAAGTTCAGGTTTCATTTAGTTATTTATGTTAAATACAAATAAGCAACCTTAAATCAAGCTAAATGTAATTATGAATTTTCAGAAACTATATTCAAGTGTTTGATTTTTAAATCCTTACTTTTTAATAAGAAAGTTGACCTAAAAATCAGTAGTATTTTTGTTTGTCCTCAGAAGCCATGGTTGAAGAAACATATTAGAATATACACAGAAATGAATCCATACATTCCATACATTGTGCTGATTTTTTACATTAAGTACAGAAGTCTGAGCGCAGCCTGAATTCTTCTGCCTGATGAGACCACAAAGCAGTAAGAGTCAGGGATAAATGGAAACAGTCATGAGTAGAATTGGTGTAAGGCTTCAGGAGGCTATGCAGACCTGATCAATGTAGAAAGTTTTGAAAGTAAAAGATTAAAAACTATTTCACATAGTTCTTAACCCCTACCCATATTTCACAAATAGCTTGAGGATCCAACTGGTTTTTAAAGCAAATTGGGGCCAGGCCTGGTGGCTCACACCTGTAATCCCATTTGGGAGGCTTAGGTGGGGGTGGATCACTTGAGGTCAGGAGTTTGAGACCATTCTGGCCAACATGGTGAAACCCCATCTCTACTAAATAACACAAATTCGGTGGGTGTGGTGGCACGTACCTGTAATCCCAACTTGGGAGGCTGAGGCAGGAGAATCACTGGAACCCAGGAGGCAGAGACTGCAGTAAGCCGAGATCACATCACTGCACTCCAACCTGGGTTCAATCAATTAATCAGTCAATCAATGAAGCAAACTGGGATGTGAGCCCTAACCTTGGCAAGTTAAAATTTTGGGAAATAAATAAATAAGGCAAATTGGGATGTGAGTACTAAACTTGGTAAGTTAAAATTTTGGGAAAATTGTACCTGCAGAATATGATCAATGACAACAAGAATCGGGCGCATTATCTTATGCCTGTAGTCCCAGCACTTTGGGAGGTAGAGGTAGGCACATTATCTGAGGTAAGGAGTTCAAGATCAGCCTGGCCAACATAGTGAAACCTGGTCTCTACTGGAAATACAAAAAATTAGCCAGGCATGGTGGCGTGTGCCTGTAGTCCCAGTCACTCAAGAGGCTGAGGCAGGAGAATTGCTTGAACCCCGGTTGCAGTGACCTGAGATTGCACCATTGTACCCCAGATGGGTGACAAGAGCGAAACTGTGTCTCAAAAAAAAAAAAAAGAGTCTGTGAACTACTCACTGAATGGATTTTGTCCTGTGAGATGAGAGGTTTTGATTTGCATTTTCTATTTATGCCCCCAGTCCTAGTCTCCTACCCATCCAGCTACCCAGATACTTTTCTCTAACTGGGTTGTAAAGGCGCCAAGCTTTTACTTCTGACTTTTCTTTTTTTTTCCCCCAAGACAGAGTATTGCTCGTTGCCCAGGCTGCAGTGCCATGGTGCAATCTTGGCTCACTGCAGCCTCCACCTCCCAGGTTCAAGCAATTCTCCTGCCTCAGCCTCCCAAGTAGCTGGGATTACAGGCACCTGCCACCATGCCCAGCTAATTTTTGTGAGTTAATAGAGACGGGCTTTCATCATGTTGGCCAGGCTGGTCTCCAACTCCTGATTCGTGATCCACCCTCCTCTGCCTCCCAAAGTACTGGGATTACAGGCATGAGGTCACTGCACCCGGCCATACTTCTGACTTTTCTTCAGCATCTGTTGTATGCTGTTATTTTGATGTTTACATTTATAACTATAACTCTCCTTTACTGTACCTATAAAATGTAGTCTTATTAGTTTCATTACATAGGAGAAATTATATTTCTAAACATTTTATGACATTTAAAAACAACGCAGGCTTTTGTAAAAAAAATAAGATAAAATAGCTTCTGAATATACTTTAGGTATCAGAAAGCCAAAAATAAAACTTAACTGTAACGGTAGCAACTCCATGTCCTGTGTCCAGCTTTGAACAGGGTTTATGACATTTCTGTTTCTTTAGTAATGATTAATGATTCCTTAGGAGGTTGGTCATGTTGTATGGTCCATCGAAGTTTAAGACACTAGGAGCTTTGTCTCATTGTGAGTGATGTTGTGCTGTATTTTTACAAACTACTGGCACACAGCAGCTTCCTGGGCCACATTGGCTTGTGCAGTGGAGCTTGTGCCGGCACCAGCCTTGAGTAAGTGCACTGTTGCTGTGTTGGGTTGAAGCATGCTGTCACCACAGCGTCTGAAGTCTTATAAACAGAAAGCTCATTTTCTGTTTTCCTTATAACCAGGGTGAGAAAATACAAAGTAAAGAACTAAGGAATATTAAAACCTAGCATTTATGTTCTACAGTGTGTTTTAAAAGTTTGTAATCCAGAAAATATAGTAGTGTATATCTGAAAAGAATAAGGTATACAATTTTACATATATAAAAGAACTTGAAGAACTCTGTCACGTCTTTTACCATTTGTCTATTTGATAGTAATGCGGAAAAAGAAATCCCTAAGGACCCTGTGTGCCAAAATTTACCAAGTTTAACATTTCTATTAGACATCCTTAACCTGGTATAATTGCTTTAATGAGATGATTAGATTATAATAAGGATGAAATTGCCGTCTGTAATTTTGTTGAGGTTTTATTGTCAATATAATAAAAGCTTAACTGTACAAAATTAAGTTAAATGTTATCTAGTCAGAAACATCAGCCCATATATTCCAGTAATTCTCACAAAAGAATGAAAGTCCATGCTACTATGCAAATAGATCAATAGTGAGTGATTCTTTTCTTTTCTTTTTTTTTTTTTTTTTTGAGACAGTCTTGCACTGTCACCCAGGCTGTAGTGCAGTGGCATGATCTCGGCTCACTGCAATCTCTGCCTCCTGGGTTCAAGCAATTCTCCTGCCTCAGCGTCCCGAGTAGCTGGGACTACAGGTGTGTGCCACCATGCCTAGCTAATTTTTTTGTTTTTTAGTAGAGACGGGGGTTTCACCATGTTGACCAGGATGGTCTCGATCTCCTGACCTCGTGATCCGCCTGCCTTGGCCTCCCAAAGTGCTGGGATTACAGGTGCGAGCCATCTCACCCGGCTCAGTAGGTAGTGATTCTTAAGTGAAAGATGAGCTAGGTTGAAGAAAAGATACATTTTATTCATAGCCATTTTACTATCTCCTTTTCTTTCTTTCTTTCTTTTTCTTTTTTTTTTTTTTTTGAGATGAAGTCTCCCTTGGTCACCCAGGCTAGAGTGCAGTGGTACGATCTCACTGCAATCTCTGCCTCCTGGGTTCAAGCGATTCTCCCGCCTCATCCTTCGTAGTAGCTGGGATTACAGGCATCTGCCACCACAACCAGCTAATATTTGTATTTTTAGTAGAGACGGGGTTTTACCATGTTGGCCAGCCTGGTCTCCACCTCCTGACCTCAGGTGATCCACCCGACTCAACCTCCCAAAGTGCTGGGATTATAGGCATGAGTTACTGTACCCAGCCTCCTATCTCCTTTTCAAAAGTAGCAGTTTGGCTTATTGTTGTTAGCTAAGTAAAGCTTTGAAATGTTTTTCAACCTCTCTTGCTCCCTCACTAACATTCACCTGTTGTTTTAATGATAACAGCATGTTAAAAACTTGGAAATCTTTATAAGAATTATCTTGAAACAAAAATCTAAATTATTTTTTAAAAATTCTCTTAACTCTGCATTTAGTCTTTTATTGTCCAGATTTCTGACTCCAGGAGGTTTATAGTTATCTTCAGTTGCGTTGTGTGTGATTTATCTGAAAAAGCATCCACAACCCACAGCTAGTTAAAACCTAGCTAGTTTACAGCCGCGTGGTTAAGAACATCTTTGAGTCTAAAGTGAGAGGAGAGTACTTGGCATCTTGCTTTTTGCTGAGGGCAAAATAACAACATGAAGACAAAGTGCTTTTTGTTATCTATTCATGAAACTGTAGAAGAATATTTTCAGTTTTTATCTTTATATTATGAAGGGATTCTTTGCCTAGCAGTGGCGATCAAACTGATAGAGCATTGTACTTCTTAACAGTGAAGCCTGTGTGATCCCTACAGTAGGATGAAGACTATACTGAGCAAAATAAAATGGGAAGTCAGAATCTTCGAAAATTATATTATCACTTTTTCTATTTTCTCATTTTTATAAATCAGAAGGATTTTCCATTCAGTAAAGATACTCTCTCTTCCTATAATTCTGTCAAAATGACAGTTTATTTTCACAATTATCCAACCTAGTTTCATAACATTTCGAAAGAGGTTTCAGAGCTTATTCTTTATAACTATAATGATTTGAATGTTTTATATCACAAAGTTTTTTCTATGAGGAAGGCTATTCTCAATGTATCTGTTACCCAATTTTTTACTTTCTATAAAGAATATTTAAATAGTAATTGGTGTATGTTCCTTTTATTGAAAATATTTTATCATCCAGTTTTAGCACAGAAATGGTCTAAAGTTTTTCAGCAAATGCTGTTCAGTTCCCAGAAGCCTAAAAAACATAACATAATATGCTGCTAACAGAGCTAATTTCTCCCCAATCCTTCAAATTACCGAAGTATTAATATTTAGCTTTCTTTCTAGAAAACAAAGGGCAGTACAAATGGGATGGCATCCATCTCTTTTAAACCACTGATGATTTTCTAAGGAAGTATGTATAGATTATTTTGTTTTTTAAATAGCCTTTTATCAAACCAATTCACATGTATTATCTTTATGACTGCAGGAACTTGTAAAACATATTTAATTACTGTTGACTTAAAACATAAGCATCCTTGGATTCTTCACATTGCACTGAAATTATAGAAAAAGGGACATTCATTTGAGAAACAAGAGACCTGAACCTAATTATGGCAA